CAAACTTCAATTTCTAATTATTCTATACTATCTAACACAAACTACAGCCTTTCATAAGGATTCTTTAGCAATACTCTAAATATAATCTTATCAAAAAACAACTCAGACACCTATCTAAACTTGCTTTATCTTGAACAACTATATTCAGCTAATAATTCTGTTCTTCTAAAATAGAATATTTGTCACTTAGATTGCTTCATCTATCTAAAGGCAAGCAACCAAGTTAGTATATATATTTAGAGAATAATGTAATATCTTATTACAATTATTATATTTTGTTACTTTAATATTAACAATTAGATATTAATATTTTTATATACAATACCTATATAGTCTGACCTCATTATAGTTACCCTTGATATAGTCACAACCTTATTATAATTACCTTTTTTTATTTACCAAATAAATTTATATTATTTTACTTTTTATATAGTCACAATTACTTTATAATTACTATTATCTAATATTTGTCAACTAATATTAATAAATTCCTCTCAATATAATCACAAAAATTTTAAAATATTACGCTATTATGATTAATCTGTTTTTTTGTTATATATTGATTTGGTATAAGTATGAAATAATGCTTGTAGGTATTATTTTGAAAATTAACAATCTCTAAAGTAGAATGTGGGTATTGAAATTAATATGCATCTCAATATACTCTACATAAAAAGTAAAGAAGCAAAAAGTGCTCTAAAACTATTTGTACTAAGTAAACTTACTTTCGATTTTATTTATATTAAAACAAAAGCAGGCTTACTTAGCTTTAGTATCAGAGAATTTGTTTTAATCTTATTATAATTAAGAAGTACAATTACTCTTATTTCAAAATAATGCACATGGCCATATGTGATATAACATGCAGGTCAATTAATAGCACAGATCATAATGAAATCAGATTAAAATGAAATATAAAATTTAATTTAATTCTCTAAAATCTACTTATGCTTGTTTAATATAAACTCTATATTTGCAATATAACGGTATAATAAAAGTAGTCATTAAGAAAAAGATTCTATTTAGAACTCTCTATCTATCTGCCCAGATATATAGATTATAAAAAAATTGATAATAGCAGAAATAGTACAAAAGATTCTTGTCCAATCTCTTTTCACCTACCTGATATGTTTTACTGATGGTCAATAATATTAAAGATCCTGTATTCTCTATAATAACATCGATTTTTTTAAATTGATATTTATAGAAATCAACAGGACCCCAAAGTGTGCAACTATAGCATAGAAATAACCAATCGATAGCAAGCAGTAATGATCTTGAAGACATATATTAGATATTAAATTGATATCTTTTTATAACTTCGATTATTTATTTTTAAATTATAGCTATAGAATAATTAGAAAAAAAATTAAAAATTAAACAAAATAGATTGAAGCAAGCTCAGCCACAAACTGAAATTGATCGGTTCTATTCAGAACCATGGCTTTGGCTATGATTAAAAAGAGCTTAGCATGAGTCTAATTAGTTTCAAGCTGTGATTAAAACTATTAAGTGAATATATATTCTGATAAACCATAGCTATGGTTGTAAATTACAGTAATACAAGTTTTGGTGATAAGTTATAAGTGAGTACCAGTTAAAATTTTGACAAGCACAATTCCAAAAGGTCATAATCCCAACAAAAAAATCCAAATAGTCAAAATTTTGACAATTCTGACAATCGAATTTTCAAGTAGAAAATTCTAAATATAGGGTATGTTTAAAGCTAAGTAATCTCTTATAATTTAATTAACTTTAGGGTTAGGTCATTTTAAATAAGAGTTAGGCTAAAGTTAGCTTATTTTTTATTAGAATTTTTAATTGTTGAGATTTTTAACTATTAGATTTTAGTTGTTAAGATTTTTTTGTCAAGATTATGATCTGTTAGGATTTCGCTTGTCAGAATTTTGACACAAACCTGTTATAAGTTACAGGTGAAATAACTTGTAGAGCTATTGTTTTAAGCTATAGGTTAAGGGGTTAAGGGGGTTAAGGGCTTGGTATAAGTTATTTTGTTTTAAGCCATAGTTAAATCATTAAATAAATAATATTCTAATTAAAACTATAGCTGAATTATGACAAGTTATAAATTTTGGCAATAAAGCTAAGTTGCAGTAAGTTATTAGTAAAATAACTAGCATTCATAATTGTCTATCATCATAAAACTTGCCAATCTTGGCTGTGATATAAAAGCATTTGACAATTTGCTACTAGAATTCATGATAACTTACTAGCAGCTTACTGTAGTAATTATCACAGAGAGTTATCACAACAATCTTGACTATAGTTAGGTTATTATATAAAGCTGTTGCCCAAGTTCTATAATATTTCAGCTAAGCCAAGTTATTCAAGCTAATAATAAGGTATAGCATATAAAAAATATAAATTTTATAATTCAAGAAACAAAAAGATCAGAGAGAAAAAGGAAATACTTCTGTTATATAGCCTTAAAACTATACATGCTGACGAAATTATTTTGGGTTTCAGGGTACAAAATTAAAATTTGAAGATGAAATTGTTTTTGATCTATTTTACTTAAAAGATGAAATTTTTTAACATCTTTTTTGAAGAGATGAAATTATAAGAAACATAACTATCTAAATTAGATTTGCTCTTGTATATAAAAAATTCTAAATTGCTCTAATGAAGACAAAATAGAGTTTTTTGAAAACCTATTTTGGTGACATGTATACTTAAAACTTAATAATCAAACAAATTTTAAAAGTCTAAATAATTATATAAAAAAAAATCATACTATCAGTTAAATCCAAAATAGTAATAATTCTTATTGTCTTATTTTTATAAAAGTTAGACTAAGAGTTTTATTTCATATTTGCTCTAATGTTTGCTATGCTTCCAAATCTGCTATCTAAAAAAATGTATAATAAACTAAATAATATCTAAAAAACAAATTTGTGAATATTCTAATCAAAACCTATTAGCAAAGCATCAATATATTGCTAAAGAATTTATGCGAAGATACCCTGAATTAAACATTAAGCGATTAACTGTCTCTAAAATTTTTTTAAAAAAAGACCAATATCTGCACCTTAATGAAAATAATATAGCAAATAATCATTATAAAAACAAACTACCCAAATATCCTTTAATTGAAAGAGCAATAAATATTTGAGTAGACTAAGTCTCAGTAGCTGGTTTAATTTTTACAAATGAGTTAGTAAAAACAAAAGGCAAGGAGTTTGAAAGACTACTTGAAATGTCTGAAAATAAATTAAAATTCTCCAATGAGTGAATTATGAATTATAAAAAAAGAAATTCCTTATGTCAGTATAAACTCTATAGTGAAGCTGCAAGCGCACTTTTGGAATCTCTATTAGATAAAAAAATAAAGCTTCAAAATTTCTTTTTATAATACGAATTGAAGAATATATATAACACTAATAAAACAGGATTGTTTTACAAAATATTATCACATCAAACATTAGCAAAGAAAGCTGTTGCTAGTTTAAAACAAGTAAAATAATTTTTTTTTTAGCCTAGTATCAAAATATTAAATGATACTATCTATTGTTACTATATAAAAATTTCATATATATAGAATAAATCATAACTTATGATATTATTTGCTACAAATACAACCAGTTCAGATAAGCTTCAGCCTCTTATTATTGGTCATTCAAAAAAACTACTAAGTTTTAATAATATAAATCTATCACAACTTTCAGTCACTTATAAAAATAATGAATAGGCATAGAAAGATCAAATATTTGAAAAATTGATTATAGTTTATTAATTCAAACTTTCATATTCAAAATAAAAAAAAATTACTTTTGGCAAATAATGCACTATCACATAGTTCTCCTAAAGTATCTAATAATACAAATAAAGAAAATAGCATCGATAATATTAATAATGATAGTAATCTATTAAATTCTGATGATAGAGCTGATAATAAACAAGAGCTATATAGAAAAGTATACAAAGGTGTATATGAAAGTACATGCAGAGATGCACGTAAAAGTGTATATGAAAGTGTATATAGAAATATATGTGGAAGTGCAAAAAGAAGGCCAAGAAAAAGAGAAAGAGTACAAAGAACTTATGCTAATTTTTCATGCAAAAAAAAAATTCCCAAAACTCTAAAGCTTTTTAATATTATCTTGCATTACTGTCTGCCTCATACAACAGCTTATCTTCAGCCTACAGACACTGGTATAATCTAATTATTCAAGTTAAAATATAAGCATCAATATTGTGAATTTGTCCTCAGACAATTCAAATCCAGTGTCGATATAAAGGAGTTTGTATAATTACTGCCATAGCTTGATTGATGCTAAAATTTGGCTTATTGTTTGAAAATATCAACTCTACTTACTATTTTAACTCTTTATATCAACATTAAACCCAGTATTAGCAATTGGTCATTTTTGAATATAAAAAAAATTACATGATTGGACAATAGTATATAAAATTTAAGGTTTATCAGGAAATTCTAAAAGACAGATTTCCAAAAAGACATAATATTGATAAAGTTGGTCAGCATAATAACTAATACAACTTTGTTAGTATTATATCTTTTTAGAAATCTGTCTTTTAAGATTTCTTTGAAAATCTAAAATTTATTCTGTATTTTTGTAAAATAATATTTGTACATTACTTTACAAAATTTCATATATCTAATTAGCCAAAAATAATCAAATATATAGATTGATCTAACATTGACTAAACCAAATCAAACTCTTAAAAAAGATCTAAAAAAATTAAATTTTTATATTAAAAAATTGAGTAAATTTTTGTATCAATTATAATAAATATCAAAATCTATTGCATTTACTTAACTTTCTTTTTGCAGAAAAAAACTAAGTATAAAAAAGGCAATTGATTTTATCTCAGATTCATAAAATAATGTAAGTAGTACTACTATTAAGAACTGTTAGTACAAGACAAATATTCTTCCAAATGTAAATAAGCCAGAAGCAGATAATATAAATCAGCATATCGAAAGTAATATTTTATTAGAAAATAATAAAATTGAGAAAATGATTTCTAAACTATCTGATAAGAGCCAATATACATTTAAGACAGCCCATGCTATAGTAACATATATAGAAATAGTTGATAAACCAATTACAACAAAAGATGTACTTAATGATGAAGAGATTATTGCAATAGTTCAAGCTAAAGAAAATAAGGAGCCAATTAGTAAAGACAAAAATGAGGATGGAGTGCTCAATCTACCTGTATCTGCTGCTGAAGTATGCAATATGATGCAAATCTTTATTCATTATGAAGAACAAGAAAATGCAGAGTCAAATCTTATACTAGTGGAATTGGGATTTTTAAAGAGATTGGCAAAAAATATAAGCACATATATAAGAAATCAAAAAAACAAACAAAAATTACTAGTTTTTTTGATTCTCAAGATTTGTATTTCCACAATTCTAGTTTATATTTACATGATCCATATCCTCAAAAATCATATTTCCAAGACTATTTCCAAGACTATTCCCAAGACTATTCCTGAGACTACTCCGAAAATTACTTTCAAGACTATTCTCAAAGCTATTCTCAAGACTATTCTTAAGACTATTTTCAAGACTACTCTGAAGATTACTCTTAAGACCATTCTCAGGCTATTCCCAAGACTATTCTCAAGATTTATATTTGCAAGATTCATATTCTCAAGATTCGTATTCTCAAGACTCATATAATTCATATTCACATGATTCGTACTTACAAAATTCACAAAACTATTCACAGGAAATATACTTCTAAAACTCATTGTTCTTTTATTTTCAATATTTATATTTTTTAGCATCAAAAAATTAAAATTAATTTTTTATTTATACTTAATTAGCCACATTTTTTATTTACTTGAATCCTAGTACATGTATTTGAATATCTCATCTTGAATAAAAGTAGTCCAAGTTTGATCTTTGAATTTAAAAAAATAAATATGCATCTAATCTTGTGAATTTTCTAAGAAAAATCTTTGCTATTTAAATGCTAAATGCTTATACAATACTGTAATATTGTAAAACACAAAGAACTCTAAAGCAAATGACTCTAATTAGTTGAACTAATATAAATCATAAAAAAAAATCTAAAGATTTCAAATAAGCTATTGAAATCTGTGATCATGACAAATAGAAGCTATAAGACTTAAAATTTTTTTCATTAGTATGATCTCGAGTAAAAATTAAATATACACTATATTAAAGCAGCCACTAATTTTATGGGTTATATAGATCTGCAACAATTGTTACAGTATTAAATCTATAATACTAATACTAAAAGATTTTGATCTGATATTGAATATTGTGTATATTGAACATTATCCACATGACCTGCAAAATCATTGGCCACTCTGGTTATATTGCTTTCAAAACCAGATCTGTAACATCTCATATACTGTAATTTAGAAACTATAACTTCATCTTAACCAAAAGATCAAATACTCTAAATTGTAATAGCATAGTAAAGCTATATATATAAGCTACCTTTATATAGTCACAAGATTTTTATTTATTATATACAGTAACTATATAAAAGTTTTTTTTATATTATCACACCTTTTTATAATCACTTAGATCCTATTTCTTAAGGCTATGATTATAACAAGATTAGACTATATTTTAAAAAATCACAACTCTGACTACTTAGCTACAACAATAATAATATTATTGTTAGTAAAATCTAATACTTAAAAAAGTTAAATCAGATCAGATTTAAAATTTGTACAAATCCTAACTGTTAGATCAGTTTTGGTACAGAAAATTTAGATTGAGCCAGATTAAGCAGAATTGGGTCTAATTTTAGATTATGTCTTTATATAATCATTATATATGATAAAATCAAATTTGTTATATAATAAATTTAAATATATTATAATTTGTATTATAATTTATATAATATATTTAAATTTATCATATATATTGTAATATAATTTATGTGCTAAATTTTAGCTCAACTATCAGATTATTATAGATTACTTCTAGAATCAATTTGAATTTCAGATTCAAATAAGATTCAAAAAATCAATCCTGAATCAACTAGATTTTTAATTGATTTTGAATACTAGTAAAGTCTGTAAATATTTTTTTAATAATCTAATCTCTATTATTTACTAGTTATTATTAACTTTATCCTTTTCAATTTGTTTAATACTAACTATATACTAAACTCCAATAGAATTAGCAACTACTATACTATTAATATTTCATCTATTATCTCTATACAATTTTTTGAAAGATCTCTTTTAACAACCTTAACTTTCATACTAACTATATAGATCTTATCTACTCTATAGCAGTTAAACACTCTACTCATATTTCAATACTACTCTCAATTCCTATTAACTACTTTATCACACCTCAAATCTTTGAAGCTAGAGAATCTATATCTAAGTTTGAACAATTCTCACTAATTTTACACAATCTTAATTTTACTTCTATACAAATAGATCTGTAATTAATATTAGTACTAAACAATATATAATAGATATAGGTTGGATCCAGTTAGATTTTAATAATAATATTATATACAAATTCTTAGCAATAATCTATCTTTAGCTATCTTCTTATAAAGCAAAACTTTTCTTTATTTTATCTGCAATTTTTACTACCTATATAATTCAATTATAAATATTTTTACTAATTCACAATCTGTTATCTTTCAAATATTCAAATTTTATTAACTCTCACAACTTCAACAAACCTTTTAAATTTAGTTTCTGATCTTTATGCATATATTATTTAATATTTCTAAATTATATAATCTACAAATTACTTTTTATAAAGTTTAAACCTATATCAATAACTATTATAATAACTTAGCTGATACATTTACAAAACAATATATACTGTTGTCTCTGCTAAATTTTATATATACCAATATTTATAATTATTATTATATTATACAGTAGAAGCAATATTTAGTTAAATCTTCTACAAGATATTTTATTAAAAATATTTATAAATCACATATTCTAGTACTGTAGTTATCACAAAACTGCAATACTGAATAATCATCTTTTATTCAACAAATTGACTGAAACTCTACTTGGTTATATTTTAATCACAACCAAAAGTCTACTTACAATTATACTAACTTTAAACTTAATAGACAATTCATTTATCATCTGGAAAGAATCTGCAAATTTTATAAGTAAATTTTACTATTGAGCTAAATGTGAAGAGATTTCTTTTAAAACTTTTTTTACTAAATAAAACACTCTTAGGCTTTTAACAAAAATTGTAAAGCTCATCAAGACACATCTAATGGTAATAAAAACACTAAAATTGACTTGGTAGTTCTTGAAAAATCTTAAAAAATGTTTTACTAACATATAAAATTTCTTTAAAAAAAATTAATTTTTTTTAAAGAAATTTTATATGTTGGCAAACTATTTTTTAAAGATTTCTCAAGACCCACCAGGTCAACTTTAGTGATTTTACTACTATTAAATGTATCTTGATGAGCTCTACAACTTTTGTTAGAAGCTCAAGAGTAATTTACTTAGTAAGAAAAAAAAGTTTT